GCCCGCCTCAAAGCCCACCGCTCCCCACATATAAGACAATATAACCTATCCAACCACTCGCCCCCCTCCCCCCTCCCCCCCCCTCTCCTCGTCAAGCGCCGGACTGACTGACAGGCGACCGTGCGCCCCCGCAGGCCGGCATCATGACCGAGATGCTCGACGACACGATGGAGACGCTCGACGACGCGACGAGGAGCTCGAGGACGAGGCGCAGGAAGAGGTCGACAAGGTCCTGTGGCAGATCACCGACGGCAAGCTCGGCCAGGCCTCGGCCGCGTCGGGCAACAAGGTCGGCGCGCTCCCGCAGCAGCACGCGGCAGGACCGACGCCCGACGAGATCGAGCGCGACGAGGAGATGGAGCGTGCGATTCAGGGTCTGCTGTCGAGCTGAGGGCGGGTCCGTCTCTCTCTTTCTCTCTCTGTGTGTCTGTAGTTCTAGCGTTACGTGCCTCTCGATTGTGCAACTAGCTCCGTGTCTCTGCTACAGCGTGCGCTCGATCCGGTTCCCGAGAGCGTCGACCTCAAAGTCCTCCTCGACCGTGTCCTCCTCGTTTCCCGACGACACGCCCTCGTCGTCGTCGTCGTCGTCGTCGTCCGAGTGATGCGGCTTCCACGCCCCGCCGGCATGGTTCGGGTTGGCGTAGAGCAAGTCGCCCGTCTCCTCCTCCTCCTTCTTGGCCCGGTCTGCGCGCGCACGAGAGAGAGACGAGGTGAGCGCTCGCTCATTCGCCAACGAGAGTGAGGGAGAAGAGGGACGCACGCCGCTCCGACTGCTCCTGCTCCATCTCGCGGATCATGACCTCCTGCATGGCGAGCACCGACTCGGGCGTCGTGCACGTTCGGTACCGCTCGATGATGGGCCTGCGGCGGCGCGCTGACGAGTCAGCGAGGGCACTCGAGCGGGCACACCGACACCGAGAGAGGCGGGCAGAGGGAGAGGGAGGGAGAGAGAGAGAGGGGACGCACCCGTTGACCTCCCAGAACGAGTGGCCCCACGAGAACTTGCTCAAGAGGACCTCGGCCTGGGCATCGAAGCCCGTGATGTAGAGCGCGGCCGCGATCGCCTCGGCGCACGTGAGCTTGTACGCTGCGTGGAACGCGGGCGGCGAGTGAGTCAGGCTCGCCGCTCGAGATGGCGCGAGAGAGGGAGAATGGACAGGGAGGAGGAGCTGGGGGACGCACGCTTGCCATAGTTGACCGGGTTGGCGGCGACGAGGTACGGCACTGCGGGACAGACAGCGCGACGAGAGGGTCAGTCAGGGCTCGGGCCGGATTGAGGAGGGCGACTCGGGGAGACAGGGGGGGACGCACATATCCGCTCGTGCGGCGACCGGATCTTGTTGAAGGGGATCTCGTCGAGGCGCGCCCACGAGCACTCGACGACGGCGACGCCGGCCGTGGCGACAATGTCCTTGTCGGCGGGCGAGACGACGTCCTTGCCCTTTGGACTGCGGGTTGCTCGCGACTCGGGGTCAGCTCGTGCGGCGCCTCGAGAGCGCGCCAGAGAAACGAGGGGGGACGGACCTCATGACGATGCCCTGGAAGCGCTGGCCGACTCGCAGCTCCTCCATGAGGTTCATGCGCGCGAGCTTCTTGCCGGAGCACTTGCGCGGGTCGCAGTGGTCAAAGTCCTGCCCGGGTGCGCGCATGTCAGTGCTCGTACATGTCACAGGAGAGAGCTGCGCCACGCACCCACATCGCCACAGGCACCATGCTCGACAGGAGCTCGTCGCCGTCTTCATCTGTCCGGGCCGAGTCCTCGTCGTCAGCTGTGCGCGAGGGGCCAGAGAGAGCGAGATTGGGCGCACCGGAACCCTCGCTGTCGCTGCCGCTGCCGCCCTGGTCCACCGCCGACGCCGGGATGTCGCTGTAGCCCGCGCCGGCGTAGGTCGAAGTGTCGCGCGGAGCTCGCCCGGCGTGCGTGTTGCCGCGTGCGCCGCCGCGCGCAGAGCTCGACTTGCCTCGTGCGCGACCGCGCGGAGGACCCATGACGAGCGAGAGAGGGTGAGGGCGAGGTGGTGGTGGCGGTGAGGGCGAGGGTCGGCTCGAGGAGGAGGGGAGGGGAAGCTGCTCGCTCGCTCTCTCGCTTCCTGGGCGCGCTTCGAGAGGACACGATGCACGTTGCGACACTGGCAAGAGATAGATCACGAATCGATGAGGGGAGAGATGCAGAGGGGTCGTCGCCAGAGAGGGGAGAGAGAAAGCGTCCGTGTCAAGAGCATCTACAAGAGAGGCGCCCGTCTAAACGAGCGCGGCGACGAGAGCACCGGCAAAGGCAAGCACGCCGCCCGAGACGACGACGTGCGCTGCGCCCGAGGTCGACCCGCTCGTCTTCTGCGCCGCCGCGGACGAGTCACCCGTCGCCGAGGCGCCCTTGCTCGACGAGCCCGAGCGCGACGAGGCCGCCGAGCCGGTCGACATGGACGATGCCGAGGAAGTCGTCGAGGCGGCGCCGGACGAGGTCTGCCGGGCGGGCGAGGAGTCAGTCGAGGGCCGTGCGCAGGAAAGAGGGAAAAGGCGGACGACGCACCTGGTACCCGAGGAGCGAGGCCGGGAACAGGTCGGCCGACGAGTACGTCCTGCAGTTGGACGACGACGGGACGCGAGGCGTCCAGGGAAGGGTGCTGTCGGCGGCGAGCGACTCGGGCTGCGACCAAGTCGAGGCTGCGAGAGGGAAGGAGCGTCATGACGCTTCTCGGGGAACCGACGACGAGCGACGCGACGCACTCTTGCCGTCGGTGCCGGTGTAGGTGCCCACGACGTCCTGGAGGTCGCCGTCGCACTCGTTGAAGACGCCGTCCTCGTACGCCGCCGGCATGTCTGGAGGAGGGAACGAGGTCAGCTTTACGCCTGAATGGCGCTCGAGTCGATCAAGGGAAAACGTTCGGACGCACTGTACTCGCAGCCGATGAGGTCGAAGCGGTTCTCGCAGTAGTTGGGCGACGAGATGGGCTGCGGGGAGACGGGAAGGCGTGAGTGGGACCGCGCCTCGAGCGCAAAGAGGACGAGGGCGACGACTCACCCCGCAGAACTTCATGCAGAACACGCCGGAGCCAACGAAGTTGTTCCAGCTGATCACCTGCTGCATGGTCGAGTTGTCGCCGCCGACGGCGGACGGAAGGCCGGTCGAGAAAACGATGCCGCCCCTGCGGACGAGGAAAAGGATTAGCGACGGGACGCCACGACGACAGCCAGGGGAAATAGACATACAGAGGGTTGCCGAGCTGGTCCGCGCCGTGCGGGTCTGTGTGGCAGAGGAGCTGTCAGGACAGGCACAGGAGGGAGAAGGAGAGAGGGAGAGGGTCGAGCGCACCGAGTTCGCCTCCCGTGTCGTCCGCGACGAGGTTGAGCGCCGTCATGTTGATGTGGCCGGTCCACTGGATGTACTCGGACGTGTGCATGACCTGTACGCGAGCGCAAGACGTGAGCGAGAGATTGAGAAGGTCGATCGAGAGGGAGGGCGAGGGACGCACCTGGAGGCCGGTGATGGCGCCCTCGGGGAGGACGCGAGCGCCCCATTTATCGGTCGTGCAGTACGCGACGACGGCCGCCTCGATGTCGCCGATGGTGCCCGTAGCGTCGGTCGTCGGGCTGCCCCACAGGCAGAAGTCGCTCGCGTTGTTGGCGACGAGCGTCTGGCACTGCGCGTCGGACCCGCTCGTCGTCGAGTTGCAGATGTTGTAGCCCGACTGTTTGGCGTGGCGTAGGTGGCGAGAGTGAGGCAGGGGATGGTGGGCGAGAGGTTGCGCAGCAAGTCAGTTCTGGGCAAGTCCAGAGCCGGCTGAGCGACGAGGACGCACCTGAGGACCACGGCCGACGTTGTACGGGTTGACCTGCGCATCGAGTACGAGTCAGTTCGAGGTCCTTCAAGGGACGCAGAGCGCGCAGTGGCTCGAGGAGGAAGGGGTCGACGCACCTGGTACGGCTGCTGGCCGTAGCTGTAGCTGTAGTCGGTGAGCGGCTGCGGCGACGTCTCTGCGCGCTTGGCCTTGGCGACCTGCGACGGCGATGGAGCTGCCGTGATGGTGGTCTCGGCGAGCGCCGACGAGGCGAGGGCGAGAGTGGCTGCGACGGCGAGAGCGAGCATGGCGGGCGAGGGAGGTGCTCGGTCGGTCGGTCGGTCGGTCGAAGGTGCTGCTGGCTCGAGAGGTCGAGAGTTGAGAAAGCGAGAGGCAAACAGCAGCGATGCGGCGAGAGAGAGGCGAGCTGCGAGAGTCGGACGCATCGCCAGCGACGACCCAATTTTGGGCGCGGCGCGCATTTGGCGCCGTTCCTCGTTGAACGAGGCACACGCTCACAGCTGGCTGCGCAGCTTGAGCGTCGAGCAACCCGTCCTCACTGCGTGCTGGAGCGCTGGAGGCCTGCCCGGTGCGCGAACGCCGGCGCCCGCTCGCGCCTCCCTCGCCGCACGCGCTCCCTCGGCTGGCGCCGGCTCCGACGTTGGACGCTGAGCGAGGGGCAGGGACGCGTATGCGCAGCAACCGCGCTCGAGCTCGTGGGGCGCGCTCGAGCAGCAGTGTCGAGGGCGAGCAGTCGCGCAGGCAGCAAGTTGAGCGCGACGAGTGGAAGGACGGAGGGAGAGAGCGTCGCCGCTGTCCGTCCGAGTCTCTCCTTTCCCTCTTGGCCAGCGCGGAGCCGGCGCGAGAGCCAGTGTGGGGCAGAGCGGAGGAAGCGGACCGACGAATCGTGTGAGAGAGGAGGAGGAGGGGGAGGCGGTCGACAGCTCTCCTCAGACCGCGCCTTGACTGCTACGAGCGCGTACAAGCTCGTCGCCCACATCGACACACGCCATCGAGCACCAAAGGCGGACCGTTGACCTCGTCCTCGGCCTCGCCTCCTCGCCTCACCCATGGCGCACCTCCCGATTCTCGTCGTCAACCCCAACACGACGCGCTCAATGACAGACGGCGTCGAGCGAGCACTGAATGGCATCATCGAGTCGAGCAAGGTGCGTCCGCACTGCCCGCCACGACCCCTGTGCTCTCGCCGACGCTCACCCACCACCCTCCCTCCGAGCTGCAGTTCCCGCGCCCGACCTTCTTTACGGCTCCGACAGGCGTCGCCTCGATCAACGACGACAAAGACTGCCACCACACTGCCGACGAAGTCCTCCCACACCTGCTCGCAACGTCCGGCCCCTCGACAACCTCCTCGTCCCTCTCGCTCGTCGACGCCCACTCGGCCATCCTCATCGCCTGCTACTCGGTCCACCCTCTCGTCCCGCTCCTCGCCGCCCAATACGCGTCCCAGCCCGGCCCGACCCGCCCCGTCACGGGCATCTTCGAGGCGTCCCTCGTCGCCTCGCTCGCGCTCCTCCACTCGCCCGACGACCGCTTCGGGATCGTGACGACGGGCGCCGTCTGGGACGGCCTCCTGACGCGAGGCGTGCGCGACTTTCTCGCGTTGCGCGGCGGCGAGGGCGCGAGGACGGGCCGGTTCGCGGGCGTCGAGACGACGGGCTTGACGGCGGTCGAGCTGCACGACTTGCCGGCCGACGAGGTGGCGCGCAAGATGAAGGAGGCCGTCAAGAGGCTGATCGGGAGGGCGAGGGGCGACGACGGGAGCGGGCGATTGAGGGCGGTGTGCTTGGGGTGCGCCGGGATGGCTGGGCTCGACGCGACGGTGCGAGAGGCGTGCGTCGAGGAGCTCGGCGAGGTCGACGGCGCAAAGGTGCACATTGTCGACGGCGTCAAGGCAGGGTACGCCCTGCTCGAGGGCATGGTGCGGGCCGAGCTGTAGCGAGCGTCGGCGGCGTGCACGAACCTCGTCTCTCCCTCCCTCTTTCCGCTCTCTCCCAGTCCCTCGCTGCAACTCTCGACGACGCGAGACACACGAGAGAGAGAGAGAGAGAGAGAAGCGCATTAAGCGTATCGATACACACAAGGCGCGTCGGGAGAGAGAGCCGTCTTCTGTTGGACGGGCGCGCAGGACGACAAACACAGACGCAAGACCACGAAAACTGCTGCTGCTGCGGTGCGACCGACGAGACGACGAGGGAAAAGGACAGAGGTGGGGGAGGGGGTGCGCTACCGCCGGGACGGGTCGTGCGACCACTGGGGCGACGGGTGGGCGTGGTGGTGGTGCGAGTGCGGGTGCGGGTGCGGGTGCGAGTGAGGGGGAGGGTACGTCGACGCCGACTGCTGCTGCTGCTGCTGCTGCGACGGGTGCTGCTGGCCATACGGCACAACAGTGGGCGTCGAGCCAGCCGGGTCGACGCTGCGCGCGTACCGCTCGTACGGAGCCGCCGGCTTGGGCGTAAAGTAGTCGGGCGTGCCGGGCACCGTGCGCGCCGACTCGAACGTCGCCCGGCGGTAGTAGTCGCCCGAGGCGGCCTGGGCCGGCGTCAGGGGCGAGGCCGTCGGGGCCGGCGAGGCGACGAACGCGCCGAAGGGCGACGCCGGCGAGCGCGTCCACTGCGGCGGCTGCTGGCCCGCGAACGCTGGCATGCGGGGCTGAGCCTCGAGGCGACGCTCGCTCAGGCTCGACGGGAACGACGGGAGGCGCTGCGTGGCCCGGAACAGCGACGGCAGGCCGTTGAGCGGCGCTCGGACCGTCTCGATGGCCTGCGGGGCCGACGAGGGCCGCATGGCGTCGAGCGCGCGCTCGTCGTACCGGCTCAAGAGGCTCGATGCCGGCTGGGCGGTGGTGACGGCGGCGAGAGCGGCGTCGGGGTCGTCCTCGGTCGAGACGCTCGCTGCGTCGCCGCCGTCGGTGCCGAACCAGTCGTCGCGAGCAGGCGTCGTCGCGCCCTCCTCCTCTGGCTCGTCGTTGAGCATGTTGCGGATGTGCATGCCGGCCTTGCCGGTCGAGCTGCGGCGCGACGACGGGTTGTCGAGCGAGGGAAGGGGCGGGAGCTGCTGGCGGTCGGGCGGGTCGAAGAAGCCGGCGCGAGGAAGGGCAGGGCCGTTCGCGCCCGTGACGAGGCGCTCCTGGAGCAGGTTGCCGTGCTGCAAGGGCGCAAGCTTGTCAGTCAGGGCTACGTCGCGAGCTGAAGGAGGAGAGAGAGAGCGCGGGACGCACGCCGAGGTGCTCGACTGCAGCCGGGCCATCGAGCTCGACGCTGTCACCCTCGTTGACGATGTCGACGAGGTTCTGCTTCTTGGCGTTGCTCTGGTACCACTGCGAGAGGGAGAAAGAGAGCGGGAGGGAAGGGAGAAAGAGTCAGGACGGGCCCGGCAAGAGGCAAAGAGGGGAAGGGGCAGGACGCACGTTGCGGCACTGGACCCAGGTCTTGTTGCCGACGCCCTCGGCGACCTTCTTCCAGTCGGTGCCGTGAACGCCGAGGAGACGCACGATCTCATTGCGCTCGGCGACCGTCCAGTACGACGACGTGTTCGAGCGGCGCTTGGGCTTGGCCGCCTTGTCGCCCACGGCGGCGCCGACAGGCTCAGGAGGGCCCGCAGGCGTCGTCGAGTCGTCGCCGAGGTGCGCGTCGGGGTCGGTGGCGGTGGCGGCCGAGCTCGAGCGAGGCTTGCGCGCGCGCGCCTTGGGCGTTGCGAGGTCGTCCGTTTGCATGCTCTCGTCGCCGTCGTCGCCGGCGGCGAGTGCGCCGAGCGCGCCGAGCGCCTCGGCCGCCTCCATCATGCCCTCGGAGGGCGGCAGCTGGGCGTGCGCCGCCGGGGTGGGCGCAGCGACGGCCGCGTTGGCGGGCGTGGACGACGCCGGGGGCAGGAACGACGACTTGGGCGTCTGCGCCGTGCTCGGCCGACTCGTCGCGCCGTCGTCCGAGACGTCCTCCTGCGCCGAGGCGGTCGCCGACGCCGACGGGCGCGGCCTCGAGCGGGCGAACGACGGGCCCGGCGTGAAGACGGCCGAGGTCGAGGTCGGCGGCTCGCGGCGGTTGAGCCTCGGCGAGGTCGGCGCGCTTTCGCCGTCGTCCTCGTCGTCGCGCTCGTCGATCGGGGCCGGCGGCGCAGCCATGCGCGGCTTCTTGTTGAGGTTCGACAGGAGCGACGACCCTTTGCCGCCCTCGGGCCGCTTCTTGGACTTTTTGCGGCGCCCGTCGCGGCCTCGACGCTCCGACAGGCTGCGAAAGTCGATCGTGTTCTTCATGCGGTAGTAGAACAGGACGCACTGCGCCGTCGACTTGTCGGCGAGGTCGGCGGCGATCTTGCCGAACTGCTTCGGGTGGGCCGCGTACCGCTTGCAGAACGTCTCGACCTCGTCCTCGGTCCAGACGTCGAGCGGCTGGTCGATGCCGTACGCGTCGACCGGATCGTCGACGAGGTACCGGTCGTCGTCGAACGCGAGCTCGAGCACCTCGCGCCGCTCGGACGGGTCGATGACCATGTCGGGCACGACGGCGGCCGTGCGCGCCGCGCGCGCGTCCGGGTCGCGCAGGTCGGCCGTCTCGAGGCTCGCGAGGATCTCGAGAAACTCGGCCTCGGACCGCACGGCGTCGCCGTACCCGCCGAACGCGGCACCGGCACCGCCGGCGCTGCGCCGGTTCGCGCGGCTGCTGATGCCGCCGCCGAACAGGCCGCCGCCGCCGCCGCCGCCGACGCCGCCGTGCGAGGGCCCGGGCGTGACGGGCTCCGGGTAGAAGGGCATGCCGGCCGAGTCGATCGAGGGCGTCTGCGGCGCCGTGGCGACCGACGACGACGAGCCGAGGGCCGGGTGCTGCTCGCGGCGGTGGACACGGTCGCGGAGCTTGTCGAGCCGGACGCAGTGCGCCTTCCAGTCGTCGTTGAGCGCCTTGTACTGCCGCCGGAGCGCGATCGCCTTGTCCCGACGGCGGTCGTCGCGCGCCGCAAAGTCGTCAAAGAGCGCGCCCGACAGGCGCTCGTGCGGCTCGACGAGCGCGTCCCACGTCGCGCCGAGGACCTCGTCGCGCTCGGCCGAGCCCACCTCGGGGACGACGACGCCGCCCGTGAGCCGGAGCCGCTGCTGCTCGATCGCGACTCGCGGGTCCTCGTCGGCGTGCTGCGCGCCGAGACCGACCGTGTCGTCCTCGTCGCCGCGGCGGGTAGCAGGCGACGACGACCGCTCGCGCTCGTGGTCCTGCTCCTGCGGCGTCGTTGGCGAGTGGCGGTGCAGCTCGTCGGTCGGGTGCGGCGAGGGCGGTGCCGGCGCAGGCGGGCCGTGCGCGCCGTCGACGTCCTTGTCCAGCTCGGCGTCGCGCATGTCGGTGTCGCCCTGCTCCTGCTCCTGCTCGGCGACGGCGGGTCGAGCCGCGGCGGGCGCCAGCTCGGCCATCTCGACGTCCTCCTGCGCGGCCGACGCTTCGACATCGACGAGCTTGCCAACAGGCGCGACCGACGGCGACGACGACTGCCGCTTCTCGGGCTGCGCACGGCCGTCGACCTCGCCGACTCGCGGCCGCGGCGACGAGCGCTCGAAACGCTCAGGCTCGGCCTCGAGCGCGCGCGCCGGACCCGCCGACTCGTGCTCGTGCTCGTGCTCGGCGGCGCTCTGCACGTCGGCGCGCGGCTCGACGCTCGGTTCGACGGCGGGCGTGGGCACGGGGACGGGCGGGATGTACGGCGGCGGCGGTGGCGGCGGGAGCGGGCGCTGCCTCGCAGCGGGGGAGGGTGTCGGGCGTGCGAGCGCGAGGGAGGCGGGTGTGGCGGCGCCGAGGCTGGGGACGGCGGCGGGCGCAGGTGCAGGCGAGGGCGGGGCGCCGAGGGACGAGAGCGGTTTGGTGTCGGCGTGAGGAGGAGGAAGGAGGGTCGAGGCCGAGGTCGAGATTGAGGTCGAGGGCGAAGGCGCCGATGTATCTGCCGGCGTCGACGCAGGCACGGTCGACGCCGCCGGCGCCGGCTCGACGAGTCGCGGGACGCCCACAGGCGCCGACTCGGGCGACTCGGGCGCCTTGACCGGCGACGACGCGAGCTCGCCCTCCTCGCGCTCGAGCGCAGCCTGCTGCACGTCCTGCATCGGCGCATCGGCCCTCTCGAGCGGGACGGCGGGCGGCACGCTCGGCTCGACGGGAGCGGCGAGCGCGGCGGCAGGCGGCGGCGCCATCTCGGTGTCGGCGTCGTCGGCCCGCGATGGCGGCGTGCGCGCGCTCGTCGTCGTGGACGGGAGCGGCGGCGTGAGCGAGACGGCGCTCCTTGTCCTCGGGGTCGGCGAGCGCCGGCGCTCGGTGGTGGGCAACGTGACCGACGTCTGAGGCGGCGGCGGCGGCGTGCCCTCCTCGTCGAGCTGCACCGCGCCCGCGCCGATCTCGACGTCGGGCCCGGGCTCGACCTTGACCGGCGAGCGCTCGACAGGCGGCGCCGGGAGCGGCGGCGTCTCGCCGCGCTCGTCGTCGCCGCCCGCGCCCACGACCGGCACAGGCTTTGGCGGCGTCGTTGGCCTCGCCGGCCCGTACTCGTCCTCGCGCTCCTCGCCCTCCTCGAGCTCGCCCTCCTCCAGCTCGCCCTCCTCTGGCTCCTCGTCCTTGAGCGCGACGTGCGGCGGCGCTCGGCGCGCGAGCGACGCCGGGACGGGGACGCCGTTGAGGACGAGGGTGGACGGCGGGGCGCCGGGCGGCGCGGGCGGCGGCGGGTCGAGCCGCGAGAGGAGCGACGACGACGAGGGTGAGGCGGTGGCGGCGGTGGTCGAGGGGCCGTAGCGCGCGTATGGGTCGGTCGGGAGGGGAGGAACGGGCGGCGCGTGGTGGAAGTCGTACTCGACG